AATAAACCAGTATCTACATTTTATTCTGAAGCAATTTTTCATAACCTTGCTCATTCATGTTTACAAAGTATTTCTCCTGTCTCATTTGCCTGCGTATTAAAAAGCATTGCATGGCTATGACAGTGAGCAAGATCATAGTTAACAGGGCCATTAAAATCATTAAATAAGGCATCATAACCATCATGTACTCCAGCAAACGTGAATCGTAATCAAGTTCACCATGCTCACTTTCTTGGACTTCAGTATTCAATTCTGCCATAATAGGTTTACCATGAAACTTTTTAAATTCAATAATTTTAATAGCTTGGTTATTAAGGGTTAGTTTACTGTCCATGTTATTATTAGGGTAATAATTTGAATTGAGCTTGATTAGTGGATTTGTATCATTTGATGGGGCTGGTAGTATGCACTTTGAGCTATGGTAGGGGTAGTCATCGCATTCAATGTCCTGAATATATTCAACGACCTAAAAATAAAAACCATGTTCATTATTATCATGGTTTAAATGTTAAGAGTTTTGAGTGCATATTGTTAATAATTACATTTGATTTACAAGTTATTGTATTATTTATCGAAAAAATATAATTATAATTATAAATGAGATAATTCTTTATAGGGCCCAGTTTGTTTATAAATTTTAAAAATTTTATAATTAAGTGATCTATTTATTTTAAATTACAGTTTAAAATAATTGTTATCAAGCGAGTGAAGCTAATTTGTAAAAGTATTAAAACTATTATACATTATTAAATCAAATTATTATGTATTCAAATATTTTGTTTAATAAAATATAAGTTTTAAAACTTATTAGACACTATAGTTAATGAACTGTAATTTTTACAAAATATAATTATATATTTTGGTTAAAAATATTTATTATTTATACATTTGGGACATAAAATGGGGGAACCTTATTTTTAAAAATTAAACATGCCTGATTAAAATACTTATCGATCTCATCCAAATCGTTTTCTGTACATTTGGTATTTGCGATAAATTCATCCAGGCAATCAATATTTATCCAGGTTGCGCAACATACTTGCTGACTCATATTACTAATATTGTACTTGGTAATATTCCATGCTAGTTCAGCTAGCTGAGCACAGTATAATCGATCATGTTGCTGAATATTTTGTATGCAAGCATTATCACCATGGTTAAGTGCAGGGGGTTTATCGGCGGTAATTAGTATGTTGTGAAGGGTCGGTATGAGACAAAACGTACTGTCCTTTGGGTACTGACTGCACGAGTTGTTTGCGAAAAATATCTCCAATTTGTGAAACCATTGCCGCAATTGGTTTGACTCGCTTTCGTTGCACTTGTGTTCAGACTATTGTGTATTTTGTGATAAAATTAATAATTTTTAAAACATATTAAATATTTTAAAACTTATTACAAAATATTTATATAGTATTATCAAGCAAATTGTTACAAAATATTCATTATTGATTAAATCTGAATGATTATCCATTTTAATTGTGTAAAAAATAAATTATAAAATTATTTGTATACTAGATAATTCATTACAGTTAATATAACGTTTGATAAATAACACGTTTAAAAAATCATTATAAAAATTAATATTTAACTATTTATTATAATTAACCCAAAAAATGTAAACCACTTGGTTAATTTTAATTAATTTAGAAATTTATAATTTAATTTTAAAATAATTTTTTTTGACAAACCGTTTATGCTTATTTAAAGTATTAATAATTAAACTAACTAATATAATATAAAAATTTAGAAAATATTTTGTTCAAACTAAACAAATATTGGTATAATAAAAATATTTCAAGTGTATATAAATAACCTAGATACAACATTCTAAAACAATAATTGTTGCAACATTTATACATTAAACAATAAAACAGTATCAGCCTTATAAACTGAATATAAAGTATTTTATAATAAAAACTATTTAATTATCTAAAACTAATTTTGAAACTATAATTAAAACTGTAACAATGTCACTATTATGTCACTTTTATTAATTACAATTTAATGTATTTAAATTTGGACTGTATCACGTATCAGTTTTTAAAATTTACCTTTTTTAATTATGGAAATAGTTATCATAAATAAAACTCACCTTGTTAACAGCACCTAGAAAATTAACACTACATTCAATATAATCCCATTTAGCGCAGCAATCATCGGATATTGAAATAGACTGATCTGGCTCATGCCAATACTCATAAGACTTGGTCAGGCATTCATTTATATCCGGATCTAATTTTCTCAGGCACTCATACGCTTGTCCCGTATACTGTGGGGCACCGGGAATGGCATTCATGTGACGCACAAGTAGGCCAGTAGTCAGTGTACAACTGGTCAGTACACTAATGACCAGAAAATTAAATAACATTTTTATAAACTATATCATATAACTTGATATTTAATATAATTTTTATTTTTGTTATAATAGTTACAAATAGCTATAGTTTTTATACATTATTGGTTTCTAAAAGGAAATGATAACTAGGCAATTTGTTCAATGAACTATTTGTGTAGAGTTTCACGTTTTATTTGAAATATTGTTTTATCTCTCTCTCTCTCTCTCTCTCTCTCTCTCTCTACAATTTAAAATTATAGTTATTAAGCGTTTGTATATATGATTGGTTTTGACAACATTTTCAATAAACTTATTTATTTAATTAAAATAAATTTTCATTAATTTAACATTAACTGTTTGATAGTTAATACAGTACAAGTGTATGGGTTTTATATAATTGGCATTAACATTGAACACAAAAAATGAATTAATATTAACTTCAAATATGATTTTATATTTCGAATAAATTTTTAATGTTATAAATAACTAATAACTACTAATAATTTTTATACAAATATATAAAAAACAACAGTTGTTTACTTTACAAATCATTTATTAATAGATTTCACAAAACATTGTACAAAATTTTATTTTATAACTTTAACATATTTATATAAAACATAAGTTATATTATATATAATTATATATAACATAATGGCAACTTTATTTAAATAGCTATGTTGTATATAATAAATGTTTTGTTGGTACCATGGCCAAATCAATAGTACTATTTATCTTTACCAGGGGGGGAGGGATTTAATTAAGGTTGTTTTTCGTCTCCAGGGTGGACATCAATGGGGGACTCACCATGTTGGGGTAAGGCCTCGACCACGCCGTTAATATATATACCCAACACGACCACCAGGGTCACAACAACAAGCCAGATCATGGTGTCTATCTTCATAATCTACACGAAAAGTAAAAATGGATTTTTGAGTCTAATTTTTATAATGAAAATAATTTTTGATTAGTTTTAGTATCTCTTAAAACAGACTTTTCTTGAATGATTGAAATGATGTGTACTTTGTATGGGTTTTAATTAATTTTGAAATAATGTAGTAGTAGTAGTAGTAGTAGTGTGGTAATTTAATTTTTTAATATACAGGTGCGCAGTTTAATCATTTTTTGAAAGTAATTGTAGAAATTTTTAATAAAAATAATTGGACCGGCATTCGCATGCATTACCGCATAAAATATTTCAAATTTTATTTTAATTATCACATATAATGTCAACTAAAATCTAAAAGAAAGTATCAGTGTGCAAATTATCAATAATTTATTTATTTATTCTACAAAATCTATTTTTAAAAATTTAATTTAATTAACATTTGTTTAACTTTCAAACAAATAAATAAATATTTTGTTTAAATATTATGTTTAAAATATTTATGTACTGTGTTTATTATAATTAAAAATATTTTATTCTTAATATGTATCATTCAATAAAAAAAAATTCATTTACTAGAAAAATGTTATTCTACTTTTTAGTATCTATAATAAGTCTTAATTTAAAATAAAATAATTATCATTTAATTGAAAATGTCTTTCAATGAGTTCATGAGTCTAACGGCAAGTACAGTATTACAGTATAAGCCTATGGTCTGACTTCTCTATTGTTATGTTTACACAGATTTGTCAATAAGTTTTTTGTTATCAAATACCACTTATACTTTTATATAAAACCGATACTCTACAGTATATATATTTATATTAATATAAGCTATATTATATGGGTATAACATTTTTGAAATATTAATTGCAATTTAATATGCAATTTAAAATTTCTAAAAGTAAATTACAATATAAATTACTCTATTTCAATTGCATAATCTTAGTATCAAAATCAGACAAACTATACATTGTGGCATTATACATTTTATAAATTAAACAAGTTTTATAATATAATACAGTATTATATTTGGAAAACATTTGAAGCCTTTTTAAAATCAATTTAAAAAACTACTATTATAAATTAATCGATTCACCTTGGGACATGTTGGTTTAGTATGTGCTGTTCCACCGAAAGCGTACGCTGAGTATATTGTATGTACCTATTAATTAGTAATCAAATGGGCGCTGCCATAAAACCAACTGGCCTCCTACGGCCTACTGGCCTCACAAAAATTTTATTAATTTTTTAGAAAATATTTAATGTAGTTCATAGTTAAATCAGTTAATAATTTACCAACTATAATTGTAATTACATAAATAGGTCTCTCTCCCTTTTAGGACCACAAAATTGAGAGAGAGAGAAAGCTATTTATATGTGACTACAATTAAATTATATATATTGATAGAAATCACGTTGAAACCTGCATAATTATAATAATAAATTATTTTAAAATGTAGCTTATAAGTTTAATAATAACAATTTTTATTTTATTTAATTGATTATAATTAATCTAGATTATGGAACAACATTAACAAATTATCAATATTATAATTAACAATTTTCAATCAACATAACAATAATTTCAATAATAATATGGTATTTTTAACAAGTTGTAACATCATCCTGGTCAAATCCCAATGTCTTTATAGATTTCGAGTGCTTATCACTTGACCTCCTTTTAGGGAACGGTATTTCATCGGACATATCGGGCTTTTCTTCCATACGAGTAATCATTAGGAATGACATCAAAATTATAGCCTAAATATAATTAACAAAATTAAAAATTTAAATTCCATAAATATTATAACCACCCTGTAGCTAACTAAAATGCGCACCTGTAGTCCATTGAACATAATAAACAAATACGAGAATACGATGGGGTGGGCACTCATACGGTGTATGTACGCCAGGAATAGGAACCACGAAAATCCGCTATTAATGAATAGCCCCCCGAAAAAGGATACCTGTCCATAGGTGGCAATGGGTCGGGATTTGACTCGTATAGTGAATATTACGTACGACACGATTATTATGTTTAGGATTATCGAGATAATCGCCGGTGCTAAAAATAATTATCATAATTAAATTAACAAAATTAAATAATTATGTTTAATGTTATTAAATGAGATTGATAATAAAATATATAATTTTAGTTTTTTCGTGTTTCTAATTAAAATAATTAAATATCTATTTATTATATTAATAATAAAGTTAATATTCATTATGGTGCTTGTTATATGAATAATATTATTAAAATTATTTTAAAAATTTTAAATATTTGAATAAGTAAATTATAAAACTGTAAATTGGATATTTTAAATTAAATTATATTATGAGTTAAGAATATAAGTATTTTTGGCGACGATTGTTCTAGGCATTTTATTTTAATTGAGCAACTAAATATATAATTAAAATAACTACCTGAAATTACATACAAGTTTGCTTTGTATGTTGGCGATGATATCCAGCAACTATTAAATAAAATTATTATTTTTAATATATATTTAATCTTATTGTAATAGACATACAAATAATCGGATCCAATCAATGGTGCGCCAAACGACTGTCCAGTACCGGCCCATAAGCCCATCAAAAACATTATAATTATAATGACTGGCACACCGTATCCAATTAAGCAATATATGTACTTGTTAAACTTTTCAAATCTGATCAAAGTTTTCGAATCAAAACTATATTTTTGGGTATAGGGCCGGTAGGCAAGCAAATAAAACTGGAAACCATGTAATAATAGCCACACGAATGTCGATATAAATGATAAAAGCAGTGAAAATGATAGGAACCGGCAGAATTTCTGAAAAATAATAATTGATTTAATTATATGTGATTAAAATATTTTCAAAAATGACAGTGCTAAACTATTTATTTTAATCTACTTGCTGATATAAAAAATAATTTTTAAGGTTATTCCTTGACCAGTTTAAAATATAATTTTTTTTATCAAATGAATCATGAATATATTTTTTCATGAAATCAATTATAGATTAATTTCTACAGCGAAATTAACAAAATATGATAATAAAATGAAATATTGTGTTCATTCACATAGTAGACCAAATATTACGTTAACTTAATTTTACAAATAATTAGTTACTATCTCACCAATAAATTGACAGTTTAAATATAATCATTAAAATAGTCATATAAATAAATATAAAAATGTATTAGTCAAAGTTTTGTATCTAATTAAAATTAGCAAATTCAATTAACACTTGATAATACTGTATAAAATGTATATAATATTACTTCACAATAACACTAAATGTTTCTTACCGGGGTGTCCACCCAGTCCAGACCACTCATAACCACAATCGTTGTGCACAATTGACACGCACTTAAATTTGCAACAAAAAAGTCTTGCTTTTTAATCACCTCCTGTGTTATACCCGATTTACTGACATTCATATTTAGCAAGGTTTTTCTATAGTATAAAAATATGGTAAACACGAGGCACAACATGGAAAGGGTGCCCAATATGTAACGCAATATATCAAGCACTGGTTGATACGGCTCACGATCATCGGTATCTACCAGGGCCACAAAGTTAGTCAGGTGTGTGCACTCGCATACTGTGTGGTCCCGATTGGACTCTTTTTCCAAAAGCTGACAGCCCTCTGATGACCACTTTTCTTGAGTGTAGTTCCAGTAGACACAGTCTGGTATATCACCTAAATGTAGGCGATCCTTGTGTTTAAGACTTTTAAAAAATAAATAATTAAATTTTAATTGAAAACTTATATTTAGCTTAAATTTATTAAATAATATATACCTGATTTTAGCCGTCTCACCATCGGGAAACACATACGGTTCCCCAGTATTTTCAATGGTGAATGCAATAATATCGCTGTTAACAACTCTGCTGTCATTGGTTGAATTTGTGGTAAGATATTCCCCAATCTTATAAGAAATAAGAGTACCTAGGGAGCTTAGATTTGTACAGGTATCTTGATTATTTTTTTGCCATGATCTTTCTGATTGCCCTGGTATATTAATAGATGTTCCATTGTATTCAAACAGTATATCATTAGTAACGTTGAAATAACGAGCTTGTATAATATTATTGCTTAAATAAGGCGTACTATCCGCGGAACCCTGTATATGACAATTAGCCAGAAACCCAGTGGACTGTATGTATGACAGTATTTGTGAGCTCAGGCCTACCCTATCTGCACCCTCGCTATTATTCCAGGCCTTTGTCTGGTCTATCATTTGGCTAAATATGTCGACGAATAGCCGGGAAATCTTGTCCGCTGTTTCCATATCCCCGATCATATTTGTCTCGTCTGTCGGCAAATACTCAACTATTTTGCCAACAATTGACAGCGACTTATGTAACCCTTCCGCCGACTGTAGCCCGTTATCCGTACGCGTATTATTGGCAAAAGTGGTCAGGGTTGTGATCACGTGATCCACGTGTAGTATGTCGTTGTCAAGTATCTCTTCCAGCCAACAGTCCTCAAACTCGAACCCATTAGTCTCATCAAACTTACCGGTGCCCAGACATAGCCACCTCATCATACCGTCCCCGTGTGGGCATTTGACTTGCGAGTATTTGCCGTTGGACACGATTGGCCATGTGATTTGACCATAGTCATCGTAGACTTTGTTGTACTCCCCTTCGAGGTTACAGTAGACTGGGGGCGGGCCGGTAGGTTTTGGTGTAGTGGTGGTTGGTTGCGGATCTAGGTTAATAAAGCTTAATAATTTAGCATTGTAATTTGTTTAAGATTGTGTGATTGTGAATATGGCTAGATTTTTAAATTATAATTAATTGAGTTTTTTTAAATTGTAAACTGTAAATTACTATTTTTATATTTATTTAATTAATTGATTAATTAATGTCTAATATTAACGGCTAACAACACAATTCAACCATAAGTTTTAATTATTTTATAAATATTTTACTAAAATATATTATTTATGTATAGTATCAATTTTAATTTACAATCACATTGCTAAATAATGTTACAATAATTATAGTTAATAATGTTAATTTATAATAATTTAAAATTAATATTAACTTACATGAATAGCACCCATCACCACCCTGGTATTCATCGTAATCCTGGTGACAGTAGGTACACATTTGCTCCAGGGTAGCTTCCTGGTGCGCCATGTTGCACCGGTATAACCCTGATCGTTTGCAGTCACCTACCAATAGCTTATCATTTGGATCACCCGCTCGTTCACCACAATGGGTACCGGAGCCCACACCGCAAAAACATTTACCATCTTTAATTAAAATATTTCTAAAATTAATTTCTCATTTATCATTTAAAACTTTTCAATTATAAATATAAAAGTTAATTCAATCAAACTTTACGTGACAGAGAAGTGTGCCAAAGTTATAATTATAACAATTAACCATGCATATTTTAATTATAAACTAATTTATATTACATTTTTAATAAACTGTATTTCAAGCACCTTAAATCAATTAAATAGTTTAACAATTAAAATTACTTTACTCAATTTCTAAAGTATTGAGCTTAAAATGATATTAAATGAAAAATGTTCATAGTAAATAATTTATTAAATGTTATTACCGCAAAATGCTTCGCTTGGTGATTTTTGGTGACAATGGCTACAGTAATGTACAAATTTAGCCAGAGCATCTTTCTTTTCGCAGTAGTACATGGCATCACGTTTGCAATTGCCATTAAGACCATGATAATTGTCTTTTGAACATAAATAGCCCACTTGATCCGTGCATTCACATTCATTCGTATCTATAAATTGTATTAGGTGAATTAAATTACATTACTAAACATTGTGCATAATATATTCTTAAGTACCCGTACATGTTGGCTATGAAGCCATAATTATGATTATTAAAATAATTTATTTAATTCATTTAAAGATAAGTATGAAAAAAATATATAATAAATCTCATGTATGAATTAAAATTGAAAATATTAGTTTATGGCTTACGAACATTTACTGAGCATTAACATTAATGTAACTTATGTAATTGTTTTATTATCAAATGAACGGAATTACGCTATAAGGATCTATGTCTGAAGTATAATGTATTAAATGAACGAATTGCTGTTTATTACAGTTTTAATTGTATTGAAAATAAAAATGATTTAATTACTTTTAAACTTAATTAAACAATTATTTATAGTAATTTTTAATTTGTTTAATTATTTAACTAGTTAAAATCATTATAAATTGTTAAATTTACAAAATTGCAATTAATATTAAAATTATAACCAAATTTATTAAAAATACACTAAACAACGATAAATTGAGTTTAATAGAATTATTTATCTAAACTTAATAAACATAGTCTAGAATCAATAGATTAATAGTTTATAATCATTTTATTGATTATTTGTGTCATATAAATTAAAATTAAACATTCTATTAAGTTAGAAAATAATAATTTTATAAATAAAATAGATAGCCCCTTATCGCATGTTGCGATTCAAATATAATGAAATAACTTTTTATAAAAGCTGTAAATCTTAACGATTTAAACAGAAAGGTTTTGTTAAATTTCTCAAAATTATTTTATGGTATTCCTGTGGCACGTGTAACTCTTATATAAACATTAGAAATCTCAATTTTTAAATATTATACTTTAATTTAATTTTAAAGATTTTGTATTATAATAATGTTAAAATACAGTAGTAATTTAATTGTAATTTAATTTACGGATTTAAATTAAAAGCATACCTGAATAACATCTATCATAACCAATAAGCGGCTCATCATTTGTATCATTGGTGACGGGGGGCAGACAGTCGGGGCATATATTTCTTAATACAGCCCTTTGCCCAATCTCGGAGCACTGGTAGAAACCAGTACCTTGACAATCGCCTGTCAACAACATGCCATACCCTGGCACATCTACATTTGCTCGGTTGCCGCAAAAATTACCAAGCCACTCGTTGCAATTACATATTCCGGCTATTTAAATTAATTTTATATTTTATAAATCAAACATGCTAATTTTATTTTAATACTTACCATCTAGGCAACTATCCAGTCCCTGTATGGTGGCATCATGTAGGCCACATTTATGACACTCACGTATTACAGCCTCGTGGTGCGGTCGCGAGCATTCATATAGGCTTTTTTGGTCACATACTCCAATTAGAGCAGGCTCATTTCCAACATTGACACGTGAACCACAATGTTTGCCCACCCACCATCCGCATAGACAGAGGTCATCTTAAATATGTACAAGTTCAATTTAGAATATTGCTTACTTAATATTGTAACTATGATTACCGCAGAACCCTTTACCAGGAACATCTTCGATACAGTCCGAGCACTTATGTACAAAAGTGGCTATTGAATCACTTTTCTCGCAATAGTATAGGGCACCAGGATCACATTGCCCTATGAGGGCTGAGTTATTATTGGCGCAAATGTACCCTGTGTACTTTCCGCATACACATTGCTCAATCGCTATAATTAAGTTTAAATTTTAAATAAACTTTTAAATATGAAGTCAACTGTACGCACGTTTGTGGCACTCATCGTAGCCGTAATTGTCTATTGCCTCGTGACAGGTGTGGCACAACTCCTTTTCATAGGCGGGTTGACCCACTTCGGAGCAATAGTACCGGTTGTCTGGTTCGCACTCACCCTGCAATATTAATTGACCATCGCTATCTTGTTGATTCACCCTGGTGCCACAGTGGTTACCTAGCCACTCACCACAGATACATGAATCACCTAGTAAAAAATATAATATGATGTTAATATAAAAAAGGTTTATGAACAATTTATAATTTAATTTATTTAAACAAATAGTTGTATAGCTAAAATTTGTAGAAATATATAATATACAAATACCTTTCTCAGGAGGTACAGGGTCATCTGGATTACTAATATCGTTCAAACCTAAATTATCAGTATCAAAATATTCGGCATTAATAATGTTAGCTACTAGAAATATAATTAAAAACTTATTATGCATTATAATTATTTAACATGATAAAACTATATTAATAATAACTATAGAAAACTTGTTAATGTTATGTTATTAATAAATATTTTCAAATGAAAATGCTGTTGTCAAATAATTATAATTGTCTAATACTAAAAGCAATTTAAGGGTAAAAGTCCATAATTTTATAAACTTTTTTTTATAAGAAATATTTATAACCAATGGGTTATGTGTAAAACAATTATTTAATTATATTTTGTGGTAATTTAATTTAATAGCATTTGTACACTGCTCATAGGTTATATTTAATCATCGGCGTTTATTAAGTAGTAATTAATAAATAAAAACAACTATACTTTATAATTAACTGATGTAAATGTAATGCAAATAAATATTTAATTAGATGATTAAATTATATACTTGTTTTACAGTTAAGTAAAAATACAAGTATACGGTATTGATATTGTTTTTTGTATTTAATTAAATATACGCGCAAATAAATATAATTATAATAAATTTAATTAATAATTAATATATTCAATTTTTCATAATTAAACATTATTTATATAGACATTTACATTTTGTACACCTTAAACTATACTGTAGTCTACCAAATAATATGAGGTAAATATTACCCAGATTTTATTGTATTTGAGTATAAATTTTGTATCAAATGATTAATTGAATAAAAAAATAAAAAGTAAAAGTATAGAAACAATACATAAAAATAAAGTTTTTTAAGTCAATATTCATCATTTAATTGTCGATATAATTAGCATCAATGAAGTAGCGGACAGTAAATCGGATTACCATTAGAGCATTAAGACTGGCGATTA